GAAATGATTTTTCCACTTGTAATTATTATACTTCCAACATATGTTGTAAATGGCAACCCAAACGATGTATAAGATATCTTAGGCTGGAGGAGTGTACGCTGGCTTAACTAACCAGTGAAGATAACCACAATCACAATGTCACTCTTAGCAAGAGTTCAAACATTCAGTGTATATAGCCAGCATCGACACAACTCTATAATTATTATACGGCTGGAGGAGTGTACGCTGGCTTAACTAACCAGTGAAGTTTGAAGGCCGTAGAATAACATTCTCAGGCTAAAGCCTGTGGACAATGTTCTGACAGCAGAGTATGCGCAATTGAGTTCACGCTATTTGTTCTAAGTGGACCATTCATTAGTGTATAGTTGTGTATACTCTTTGTAGTTACGCACATGATCTCAACTCGAGGGCAGTGCAATTAAACTGTTTTGCCAATATGCATTGATTTGCCTGCAAAGCCAACTGGCCCCTTTTTCAGCCTCGCTATATTATACAGCGCTGTGAAAAACCGTAAGCGAACGTGTGGCAAATACTTGCACTCGCGCTGCACGTTAACAACACCCAGGGCAGCAGCAGATACATAAACACATTAAATAATAACTATGTAGGCACTACACTGGAGATAAAAGTGGTTGAAAAAAATAGCTGCATAGCTATATATAGAAGTTAGGTTTCTACAGTATTTTAAAGTTCTCCCTCTTCCTCTGCTGGCATCAGAGCGGACAAATCTTGCTTGTCATCTGAAGAGCCAAGCTGAGTAAATCTCTCTGAGAGTAGTGCATTGACAGTGTACTTTCCTCGGCGCTTCATTCGGAACCTAAAAATGTACAACATCAATAAGTATGGAATAGCTACAGTACAACCGCTGTATAAAGAAGGCCATGAAAATTGGCCTTTATACAGAGGTGTACATGAATACACGAAAGTATTAGAACACCATAATCAAAACAAGTGTCCTTTCTAGAAAAGTGTCCTATATTCGGAGTGTCTTGTCTCGCTGCAAATGGGTCTAATGATGGAACATGCACTTTCTATATTAGCATTGCTAACCAGTGTATCCCTGCAAAAACACCAAATGCTGCACTTACAGAATAAATGCAGCCACAGCTCCGACTGCCACAACCACAAAGATGACCACGATGACAATACCAGCTATTGCCCCACCAGACAGTCCACCATCGCCACCACCTCCGCTAGTTTCAGCTACGCTGTACTCATAGCTGAGGTCAGGAAAACCGGCAGCTCTCAACTTGTCCTCACCACTCTGTATGAGAGACATAATCGACGTGACTATTTAAAAACTGATGTCTTTTATACCTTCAAGCAGGATTCAATACTCTCTGGTTTCAGAAGACTTGAGCCATCTTGTGTTGTTGTAATAAAAACAGCAAACTCTACGGCATTTCCGTCACTGCTATTCTTTATGTTTGTGATGAAAACGTTCACTTCAACTACTTCTCTCCTGTATAATTGAGAATAGAGGACCCATACATAGTTAGATGAGATGATGTTTTAGACACATACTTCGTTTTAATCACTTGGCACTGATCCGAGCTTGCATTGCAGCACTCAGAAATTATCTCAGCCGTAACTCTCCTAAATTCTTCAACTGAGAACTGTTGTTGAAAAAAAAACATCAATGTGCATAGTACATGGATAACGAGGATTTTGAGCGTGTGTGTTCCCTACCGTTTCCACACTCAGTCCAGGGATAGTCACTATGAGGAAGTATCTTGCATTTGGTGTTGGAGTTACAGCTGGAGCAGTTGATGTCAGAGACGGTGGTGGTGCTTGTGAAGTAGGGGCAACAGATGAGCTTGGAAGTACAACCACCTTTGTAGGTTCAACAACAGGAATGGCTAGAAGAAAGGAGAGTAATTTGTTCAAATCGCAAGCAAGTAAATTGCTCCATGTTAGTCCTTACTTTCACAACCCCCTTCGGAATTTAGCATAGTGCCTTCCGGACACACACACGTGAAATTTCCAGGAGTGTTTTCACAGAGTTGACCTTCCGGGCAAATCGGCCCACTGACACACTCATCAATGTCTGTAAAGAAGTATTATTATCACAATATACCCCTTTATTGCTACAGAAACGGGAATTGTCATTTATCACCGTTGCAAGAGCGGCCATCAGGGTCAATAGTGTATCCGCCATTGCAGGAACAGCTGAATGATCCCTCGGTGTTGTTGCACACCTGTTCGCACAGCATGGTGTCAATGCATTCGTTGGTGTCTGTAGAAATGGAACGTTGCAGTACATCCATCTTTTACGATGAAGTTAACACACACCTTGACAGATTGTGTCGTTGACAAGTTCGTATCCACGAGAGCAGCTACACTGTTGTGTACCATCATCAGCCAGTGTGCACATGTCGCTGCACTCATTTGTCTCGGGGCACATGGTTTGTGCTGAGCAATGGGGAAAGTAAACAATGGCTATATATGATGGTAGGGTGTGTTTGTAGCACATACCTGTACAAGTGGTCCGATCAGGATTAAGAGTGAAACCAGACATACAGCTGCAAGTATATGAACCATCTGTGTTTGTACAGATCTGTTCACAATCATCGGTCCTGGTAGCACATTCATCGACATCTATGTCATTAATGGGACATTGTAGATAACTCCAAGATGTCCTAATAGTAGGTGACTAACCTATGCAGGTAGTCATGTCACTTGGATCAGGTTCATATCCCTCGATGCAAGTGCACTCGTAGCTCCCAAAAGTGTTAGTGCAACTCTGCTGGCAGTCGTTGGTATCCTGTCGGCTGCATTCGTCAATGTCTGGGGAAATTTATTGACCAAAATTGACAGTGGTCTCACGGGTTGACACGTGGACGTACCGGCACACTTTTCTAGCTCCTGAAGGAATCCTGATGGGCAAGGACTACACACATGCCCGGCTTGCGGTGCAACAACGTCGGAACACTGGGTCCCTGGGAAGCAGTTTATCTGAGAGCACCCATTGAGGTCATCTGCACAGAACTCCCCTGTCCAAGCTGCAAAAGAAAAGAGAGAGCAGAAGGATCATGTGGTACATTTTAACAAGCGTGTGTGAGGAGGTTTTTTGGGGGGGTTGCAGGGAAATATTTGTTACCTTCGGGACAGTCACACTGTAGCACGATGACATTGTTCTGAGTTCCCAGGAAACCGGTCTCGGTGCATGTTCCGCCATTCCGACAGGCACAGAGCAGTAAACGCGGAGATAGCACGGCCACGCCACCCTGTGAGTCAGTGGCAACGAAAGTGATTGGATCGGCTGTTGGGTCAGATAGAGTCCAATTGAAGTGGAAGAGACCACTCGTGTTGCTGTCTTCAATTAGAGCAGAGTTTTCAGGTTGGTCTCCCAGCACACTCAGCTGACTGTCTTCAACTCTCAAATCGTATGTTGAAGGTTCGCCAATGGTGATATAGAAGTCTTCCATTGCCGATATTGTTGGTGGGAACATTGCTAAAAACAAACAGAGAAGGCAATACTAAGGCATTAGTATTATTGTGAGAAGCACCAACATACAAGCTTGGTTCTCTTGTTCGGTGAATGCGAGATTTGTCTGTAGAGTTGCATTCGCAACGTCTTGATTCCCCGACACCGTGTAATCAAATATGCACTCTGGGTTGCCTCCGCAGTAGGTTGTAATAACATCAGGAGCACTTGCTACAATGTCACTCTTGAAGCTGGGGACAAAGGCGGGGTTACTGTAGTTGCTGGTGCTCACACCAGCCCCATAGAGAAACAGGCTTTCCTCGGCGGTAATTTGCCCTGCAAACAGACATGCAGTGAGATAACAGAACAGAGTATTTTGAGAAACAAGTAAACACATACATGATTGTCCCCATTCATGGATCATCTGGTCCGATGAGTCAGATGGAATGCTGCTGCCATCGGGGTACGTGAAATCATCAGAGATGTTGCCATTACGGAGTCCGAGAAGGCCGCCGGTTGTTAGTGTCAGGGAGTTGTCAAGATTCAGAGCATATGCAAGATACTCTACTCCAGGTATGAGAGTGACGTATACTGCATGGGTGACTCGGCCACTCGAGAATACTGTAGACAAGGTATTATCGTCTATGAGAATCAGGGCGGCACCTTCCTTCAGTATACTGCCACTTCCTAGACTGGCAGTTACATCTTCTTGATTGTAGAACACTATCATTCTTCCACGCTCCACTCGTACCTGCAAATCCCACAAAAACATTAAATAATTATACCATATTTTTTCCTATATATATTTTCTTGCCTCAACAATATTCCCCATGGAAGCTATTCCAAAAGCAAATGCGGTGAACCTGGTGGCTTGGTTGTCACCTGATACCACTGGCTCGGTACGACCCTGAAGCACAAAACCGGTTTCTTCGACCGTCACCAGATAATACTCTCCTTGGCTATTGAAGGTGAATGTAGTTCCGTCGAGGTTGCGGAAATGTGGATCTCCATACCCCCACGCTGCATTTTTAGATATTTGTGTAGTAATGATAGTTGTAACATTGAGGTATCTGGCTGGTACACATGCACAAAGCCCGAGTGCATGTAAGCACAGGGGTTAAAGGCATGTGTATACTGCAAAACTGTGATAGTGAGTGCTTTAGAGAAGCTTGTAGCACTGTTCAGACAATGCTGTGGTGGACACACATATCAGATGCAGGCACTTTGGTCCAGATATGTGCAGTGTGGCTTGTCAGATTTGATATCTGCCTTGTAGAATGTCAAAGAAAAATCTGGAGTCAGGTTTCATTATCTCTCACCGAATGATAGGGGTTGGTACTGGCTACAGTCATCTGATGGTCGGCGTGCAAAGTACACATCACATAGCCCGGCTTCACAGCACTCAGATCTCAGAAAAAGTCGTAAGCCTGCGACTCGTCAGGGTAGAGGAGTGGGGAATAGGACAGCATTGATCCTCTATTGTTGCCCGTAGTAATAAGAGCTCCATTGGTTGAATCCCTGTTTGTAGGAAGAAAGGTTGTCCATGCCGTAATACAATTGCTGTTTGTAATATTATACTTACACTGTGGAGTAACAGCATCCCTGTACAGATGTTTCGTATGGGATCAGCTGCACGTAGCAATCGTATTCGTTGGTGGAACTGGAGAGCTCAAAACGTGGGTCAGCCTCGGCTTGACTAAGGGAGCAGGGACAAGACTCCAGATAGTAAAGGACATCGTCCAAAGAGGCAAAAATATCCAAATCATCATAGGCCATGAGGATACACGTCGAGCGCCGAGTCTGATTGTCATTCACTCCAGTCATGTCGACAGTGTACACCAGGTTGTTCCACTTTGAGCTGGACGAGCAAGCAATGCTGTATGCGGCTGGTAATCCAGAGAGGAAGTGGTTCTCATAGTCTCCGTTCAGGTTGTAGCCAATTGTAGCATACGAATTGTATCCAGACCACTCCATAAGACCACAACTGTAAGTGTATATGGCGTGTGTTGTTGTGCCATTGTTATCAAGATTGCCTGGAATGTGTTCTCCTATAGAAAAAAGAAGTGGTGCAATGTCGTGATTCTTTGTAGTTACTAGGTATACTGATCAGCTTACCTTGTCTAAGAATTCGACATAGTCATCTGTGAGGCCGGCTGGACCTCGACTGTGAGGAAATGGATGGACTTTATTCCACAAAACAACCATCATCCAATATCCATTGAATCCAGAAGCCGTTTGATTGGATAAAAATCCATTCACTCTGTCCAGTATCGCATCTTCCGTGTCACTGCTGCCTCGCTGGTAAAATTCGTACGACACGGAGCCCGACATGCCAGTGTCTATGTCAGACCAGAACGGAGCAAACATGTACGAGTTGATGATGTAGTACTCTGACGTGGGAAACGGAGCTACATCCCAGAAGAGCACACTCCGATCGAGCGAAATGTATCCATTTGTGCTCACCTGCAGAGACGTGGTCGTAAAATGCGAAATTCCTAATAATAAATTAATGTCTTACAAAGGCACTGGTGTGGATTTTATCTCCTGTAGACATGCCTCCAGGTATATCTATGAGCTCAGATGTAGCATCATCCTCATATGCCAGATACACCTTCTGATCACCGAGTATCAAGAACGGTAGGAATCCTTCACCTACAAGGCAACAAGAGAACGTGATGGGAGGCCGGAAAATACGTGGCAAGAGGTTTACCTTCTAGTGTGGTTGCAATTGCTACAGCTGTAGGCCCATCTCCATCAGCATTTGTTGCATATATGGAGCATGTGTAGATGGTCCCTGGAATAAACTGACTCTCGAGAATTATGGTACCAGCAATAGGAACAGTAACACTTATTTCATCGTGGAATTGAGGGGAGCAATATATGGTGTAAGAAATAATATTTATATCATCCGAGTCGTATGGAGGCTCCCAGCTGAATCTCAGTGATTCTGTTCCAGCAGCTACTATCTCAAAGTTTGTGGGTGGTCCAATGTTCACTGAGTGTGAATCAATATACACAGCTATCATAGTAAACGCCATGCTTCTCCAGGTCTTACGTGTTGTAAAGGCAACTGCATCACTGCTGGTTGTTGCGAGTATGTTGGTCGCCAGAACCCTGAAGTAGTACTGTGTAAACGGCTGGAGGCCTTTGAGTGTTACCGAAAATGACTGATAAGTCAGCGAAGTGTCGAGTCCACTAGGGATTGTTTCTGTTTCCGTGGAAAGGCTGTCGAGACTGACTCCATATCGTACAATATACGTCTCCCGGCCATACGTAACGCTCGGGACTACCCATGTTATGTCAGCCGTTGTACGGTTGATATTGACAGCACTCAGATCTATAGGCATCTCGGGAGGGGCTGATGGATGATGTGAATAGTAATAATAACTGTCACACAGTGATTAAACAAGAATTACCTTCTATGCAGATGCTTTCAAAGTCGCTGCAGCACGATCCAAGTGCAACGCAATCAGGGTTGCAGAAGCACGTTCCTGGACTCCCGGCACAGTATCCCGTGGTGCAGCAAGTAGTATAGCCAGCCAGACCACAGGTTCCTACAGGAACGAAGTGTTTTGTGGACAAAATTCCACATGCAGCATTTTAACCTACCTATTGGAGGTGGTGTAGCCCCAGGTTCATCAGTTGCTGAAAAATATATAAAGATTGGTTAACTTTTTGTAACACTGAAAGCTGTATTGGTATATACCTCTGCACAGTACTTCAGATTCTAGTATGTAGCCATCGGGACAGACGCATGTAAATCCTTGCTCATTGGATCCAGTCAGAAGACAGATGTGGCTACAATTTGCCGTCTCACAGGGATTATCAGCTGTAGCAAATTGGTTCACTGATCAAATGCGAACCTCACAAAATGTGTGAAAGTTTTCCCCACCTTCTGGCTGTCTACTCTCCAGGATGGCCTCAATCCCGTAAGGAGTCGAGGCAAACGAGGCTATGGTGCTAAAATGTCCGAGTGTCTGATCCGATCCGTGGTCCTTGTGTGTTGCGTACACTGAGTTTGTCTCCCAGTCTGTCCAGAACAGAGTGCTGCCGGCTACTGTCAGGCATATGGGTAGAAGAGACCAGATGCCTCGGTCTCGACGGCCATACGCCCACTGCCGTCCAAGTTAGAGAATTCAATTGCATCCAACCCGGCATCGGACCAGTAGATTCTCATATCATCGTAGTCGACGGTGATCCCAACCGGCTGCAAAAGGTTAGTGTTGTGTAGGACGCGTCTATCACTTCCGTCGAGAAAGGCTCGTTCGATCTGTGCTGTTTGCCCCAGGTCTGTCCAGAACATGTACCTTTGGTGGAAGATTTTGAAGGATGAAATCCACTGGGTTAGGTCAGAATTACCTGTTAACTGGATCCACGGCGATTGAAGATGGGTTGGTGTTTGCCCCAGTTCTAAGTATCTCAGCACGAGACATTGTGTTGAGGCTTAACACTTCAATCCTGGCCCATGCTGAATCCACCCAGTACAGATTGTTGGCTATCCAATCCACGGCAATATCGGCTAAAAAGTGCAATAGTATTACACTAGAGTTACACTGAAGAACGTTTGCTTACCAACTACTAGTAGATTTGTGTCTACCAGAACATTTTCAACCGGTGTACCAGTAATGTTGGTAATGACGTTAATGGTGCTTGAAAAGTTCTCAGCATGTGACCAGAATATCGATGTTTCGCTGTAAATTTCATCGAGTAGAAGAGTGTCTGTGAAGGAGACCAGGTATTGTGACTTACTTGTAGTGGAAATCGATGCCCTGTACTGTTTGTGACTCATTGACGCGGAGAGTTTCAAAACTTTCTCCCTCGTAGTGCACAAAAAGAATGCTGTTGCCATTTGCGACAACCAAATCATACTCGGGAGCTGAAAATTACATAGTTCTCAGATAAATGTCATGTAATTTAAAAAATTACATGTTGGGTCTTGGCAGATATCTGTGTAATCATAGCAACAGTCTTCAAGAATAAAGCAGATGTCGTCACAGAAGCAATCAGTTGATGAGCAACCATTATCACAACATTCAGTGTAACCAGCAGCAACACAGCTCCCTAAAGATTTTAAAAAATAAGATCTGCACAAATCAACGACTTGAGATCTTACCAATGAAACTCGATGGTTCAGGTGTCATAGGTAGAATAACTGAATTTTCCTCCATATTAATGACAACATTATTCCATTCTGAGGTTACATGAACACATGCTATTTCATCTGGAGCAATTATAGTTCCAGTCAATGGGTGGTTGTAATAGTTCTCGAACGGTGCATTCAGTCCTATTGTAGCTGGAGAAGTCCATTCAAGATATCCACAGCGATATGTGAACACTGCATACGACTTGAAGCTGTCTGTAATAAGGATCGCTTGGAAAGTACCCTGTAAGAAATGGGAAATGAAAAAATTATTCCTTAAACTCTTTTCCACGATACAAAAATCAAAGCTACCCCTTATTCTCCAGCTTATGCTTTGACTAAGTAAGTAGTCCTTTTGTAGTAGAGCTTACCATTGTAAGGGTTGGAGACAGCACATCTTTCCATGTAGCAACTAGCATCCATGTGCCGCTGAACTGAGATTCAGGATACTGGCTTTGAACCAGATTTGAAACCTGATTGAGCATGGCAGCAGACTGTTCCACGATGTGAATTTCCCAGTAGACACTTCCGTTGGTGGACGTGTTTGCATCCGACCAGAAAGGTGCAACAATGTAGCTCCAGAAGATGTCGGCATTTTCTGTGGGGAATGTTTCCGGTGTAGAGCTGAGAACTTGTCTTCCAAATGTAATGAGTCCATTTGTATCAACCTGATTGGGGGTAGAACAAGTAGATAGTATAACATACTTTTATTGTATCAACTAGTGCTTTACATAGGCAGTTTGATGGTAATAGCCTCCAAATGGGAAATTTTCCGGTAGAAATATCTCTGGGGATGTACAGTCATCGCAACTGTCTAGCACTCCACTGTCGACAAAAGTGTCCGTTGGCTCATAGAATGGAAGATAAACCGTTTGCTCTACAAGGAATATAAGTTCTTCAACTGTACCTACAATACACCGTGGGTTGGATGTTTACCTGTTCTTTGGTTCTGAAATAAGCTATTTCGCTGTACCGTTTGAACACTTCGTTGTACGCAGCAGCAACTCTGAAGTAGTATATTGTGCTATCGTCCAATCCTGACAGTGTGGTACTGAACATGACGTTGGTGAGTGATGTGTTTGAAGGGCTGGGAATCGGTTCTGTTGCCAGATTTAGGTTGAATGGGTCTGTTCCATACTCTATGATGTATTCCTCTTGGAACAAGAACGAAGGAATTATCCAGGCTACGGTGGCTGACGTCAGTGTCACATTTGAGAGTGTTAGGTCCTCTGTACAAATGAAGCATCAGTGAATTCCCTAGTCTAAAAGACAAAGGGCTCTTACGTGGCAGCGGGTATTCGGGATTAGCGTCACTGAGTCGGTACACCACATTTGTACGC